TATTTGATCTGATACAATAGCTCATATTATGAATAAAACAGAAGCAAATGCTTTTCCTCAAGTTTTTTGAGATAAACATATTCAGCTTCAATGCAGCAAAAAGAGATGGAGGTAGAGTAAAAGCATTTGCTACACTTTAAGAATACGACAAAATAATACAAAATACATCAAAAGTTTGAAATTCATTTGCAGATAACAAAATGATGTCGAAAACTGCAACTATATCCATAAAGCAGAATGAAAAAAGTGGCATTCCACAGGGAAGTCCCCCAGATATTGTAAGTACCTAAATATCATCATTATTTAACCGACGAAACAATGTATTTTTGTGGTGTGATATAACAATTATCCATAAAGGATAACAATCATTTAATTTATAACAAAAACTATATTAATTACTAATAATTACTCGTGTACAATGTCAATAAAAAGCACACAGGCTTCAATAATTATTTTCAAGGCCTTCAACAATTTTTTTCGCATCAAGTCTTAATATGCCCAGTAAGTATATCATTGGATATCTTTGACGTACTATATACAGGACGGCTGTAACTTGTTATTTATGTTAATAAAGAATCAGGGATTTTTATTGATTAAGTACCTATTTATATGATAATAAGTAGTTTCCACGTTCATCCCATCAATAATTATAATAATAATTAAGTAAAGTATAAGTAAATCTACAAAGCAATGTTGCAAATATCGAATGACATTTTCAGGTCCATATATTCAAGATTTTTTCTTAGATGTCAAGTTAGTTGATCTAGAGTAAACGAATCAAAACCTCAATTCCTTTCTTCAACTAGATCAATAGTTGGATTGTCTTCGGAGCAAATGATGGCCAAAGTTATTGAAGCACTGCGATAAGGAAAAAGATTTCTGTTGATAAGGAGTTCAGTATTCAACACAACTCCACTTGTCAGAAAGTGCTGGATCATACGATTCAGTACCTATGTTGAATGTTCACCTTGAAGAATAGGAATAAATTATGAATAATTATTCTAGTTTCTCCAAATATCTCTCAAAAAATCAAGAGGGCAAACATTTGCTATTGTGCTAAACCAAACTATTTTAATCAAAATACTTCTCTCACCAATCCTTATTAATTCTCAAAGCCCTGTGCAGTCCCAGAGTTCAGACATAGTAGTAAAAAATCTCTTTCTGTGCATTCTGCCTGTTTTTTCCGCTCACGACCAGTTCCAGCGTCTTTATAGTTTTTTGTGGAAACTTGTCTGTTTTGTCTCAACCACAACAGGAATGGCAAAGATTTTTCTGACTTTGACAAAGAGGGCAAGAAAGAGTCACATCATGATCCTGCACACTTTACACTCATTCCTGGATAGTGTTGCCAGGTCTACTGACTTGGCCACTGGTCTACTGATATACTGATATCAATGTAAATTCTACTGATAAAAGCCGTTGTCATTATTTACCTACTTTTTATGATATTTTTTAAATTAAAATCTTTTATGAGAATGTCACAGCAATAATTTCATATGCGACCTTTGGGCTAGGAGTGTCCTCAGAACAACGTCTGCCCGATTACTCCGATCAGTCCGGTGTGATTTCTAATACTGTACAACTTTTGTATTTACACATTTCATCTATGTGTAAAGATGAAGGCTGTAGGTACAAATTAGTGACTTGTTGCGGAACTTATGGGTGGACCTCTGCGGAACGAGCGCAGCGAGTTCCGCAGCCATCTATTCATCAATATGTTGTTTAATTACGATACTAACCTGACTCACTTAAATGGTGGTTATTCTCATTAGTTTAAAAACTACATGTTTCAGGTGAATGTCTTATTTGAACAATTCAACAGTATATTGGTGAGTAGATGGCTGCGGAACTTGCTGCGCTCGTCCCGTTGAGGTTCACCCATAAAATCCGCAACAATCCACTTATTTGTACTTGAACAATAATTTATTATATAAAGTCAAAATTTGTAAGATTATGATTATTCATTTTTGGTCAATTCTCCTTTCAACAGGAATTAGTAATGTTACTTTATCAAACTAGTAATATAATGACAAAGTATTCAAGTACAAATGAGTGACTTGTTGCGGAACTTATGGGTGAACCTCTGCGGGACGAGCGCAGCGAGTTCCGCAGCCATCTATTCATCAATATGTTGTTTAATTACGATAGTAACCTGACTCACTTAAATGGTAGTTATTCTCATTAGTTTAAAAACTACATGTTTCAGGTGAATGTCTTATTTGAACAATTCAACAGTATATTGGTGAGTAGATGGCTGCGGAACTCGCTGCGCTCGTCCCGCAGAGGTTCATCCATAAGTTCCGAAACAATCCACTTATTTGTACTTGAACAATAATTTATTATATAAAGTCAAAATTTGTAAGATTATGATTATTAATTTTTGATCAATTCTCCTTTCAACAGGAATTAGTAATGTTACTTTATCAAACTAGTAATATAATGACAAAGTATTCAAGTACAAATGAGTGACTTGTTGCGGAACTTATGGGTGAACCTCTGCGGGACGAGCGCAGCGAATTCCGCAGCCATCTATTCATCAATATGTTGTTTAATTACGATAGTAACCTGACTCACTTAAATGGTAGTTATTCTCATTAGTTTAAAAACTACATGTTTCAGGTGAATGTCTTATTTGAACAATTCAACAGTATATTGGTGAGTAGATGGCTGCGGAACTCGCTGCGCTCGTCCCGCAGAGGTTCATCCATAAGTTCCGAAACAATCCACTTATTTGTACTTGAACAATAATTTATTATATAAAGTCAAAATTTGTAAGATTATGATTATTAATTTTTGGTCAATTCGCCTTTCAACAGGAATTAGTAATGTTACTTTATCAAACTAGTAATATATCGTGACAAGTTATTCAAGTACAAACGAGTAGATTGTTGCGGAACTTATGGGTGGACCCAGCCAATATGTTGTTCAAGTACAATACTAACCATTCAGTTATGAATTTTTCTCAGTTCAAAAACCACACGTTTCAGGTGAGTGTTTTTTTTTTTTTTTGAACAGTTCAACAGTATATTAGTGAGTAGATGGCTGCGGAACTCGCTGCGCTCGTCCCGCAGAGGTTCACCCATAAGTTCCGCAATAATCCACTTATTTGTACGGGCTGTTTTTTTATATATTGACACCCCACCTACCTCCTTTACCTTTATAGGTAGAAAAAAGATGTAAATACAAAAGTTTTACAGTTTTAGCTGAATTTTTAGAAACCATGGTCAGAAACAAAATTTGAATGTCAGAAATGTGAAATTTTGCATGCTTCCAGCTTTTTTCAAATAGGATGCCCCATATTTCATTCTATATTCTTGAAGTGCACAATGCCCTAATTCCAAAAATATATAGTTTGTTTATACTTGATTGAACAGTCTCTCATATATTCAGCTCCAAAAATTGTAAAAATACTATCCTACTATACTGATTTTGTGAACCATTCTATCTGTACAGGTGAAAACTGCAGGTAAAATTTGAGGTAGGTACTTGGTTTCTCTGATAGTATTTTAAAAATTTTCAGAACCAAATATGTTGCAGACGGTTCAACCAAATATAGACAAACTATATAGTTTTGGAATCTGGATATTGTACTCTTCAAGAATATAGAACTAAATATAGGGCATCCCATAGGTAGTACATATTTAATAGGAATATCTCATGTCTCTTAATCTTAATAAACTATTTCTCATAAGTAGTATTGGTGTTTGATTTTCTAATGCAAGTTTTCATAGTCTAATACACAGTCTAATGATTTAATGATTTGAAAAAACGTAGTTAAAGTTTCTGGAAAAGTTTCTTCATAAATTGTGTTCGGTAATTAAGTTCAAATTTTGATTATTGTTGGCTCTTGACTCACTAGTCACGTGGTCATTTTTCAAGAGCCGGTAATAGCTTGAATTTTGATTGTTAGAGGCTTTTCATTTGCTTGACAAAGAGGGAAAGAAAGAGTCACATCATGATCCTGCATACTTTACATTTACTCCTGGTAACGTTTCTTAATGAATTGTGTTTGGTAATATAGTTCAAATTTTGATCATTATTGGCTCTTGATTCACTTGGTCGTCTTTCTAGAAGCTATTATGGATTCAAGAGCTTGAATTTTGATTGTTATAGGCCTTTTGATTTGCTTGACACAGGGGAAGAGAAAGAGTCACATCATGATTCTGCACACTTTACACTTACTCCTGCAAAAGTTTCTTCATAAATTGTGTGTCGGTAGTTCAAATTTTGATTATTATTGGCTCTTGTTTCACTTGGACGTTTTTCTAGTGGCAATTATGCATTCAAGAGCCGCTAATGGTTTGAATTTTGATTTTTATAGGGGGATATTGATTCGCTTGACAACGAGGGAGAGAAAAAGTCACATCATGATCCTGCATACTGTACACTTATTTCTGGAAAATTTTCTTCATAAATTCTGTTCGTTAATGGTTCAAATTTTGCTTATTATTATCTCAATAGGCAATCAAGAACCAATAATGGTCTTAATTATGATTATTACTGGCTCTTGATTTATTTGATAACATTTTAAGAAGCAATCAGACGTTCAAAAGCCGAATATTGCTTCGCTTGACTTTGATCATACTCTAAATATTGATCATTACTGGTTAGGTTAGAGTAGGTTGTTGCAGGAAATTGCACTAAGAGAGACAAATAAATACTTCTGAAAAATCGGGCTTAAGCCACCCTGTATCACAGGACATCATCCTTGAATCGCCAGAACAATAACACTAAAACACAAAATCTTGGCTTATCTTAAATTGAGAAATATAAACAATCAATATAATCCAGTAATTTTGCAAATTGCCAATATGAAAAATAATATGTTATTTCCATTTCCTAATAGATAATAAAATTTAACCAACGTCACTAAATCTATCGATTCGACGCAAATGTTAATTCTTAGTGTTATCTCTCTGTATAAAAATCCAATTTATTTTTTTTATGGAAACAAATTATAACATTCAAAGAACCAGAGGTTGCGGAAATTCCATACTTCTGGTATACCATAGTCGGTTTGAGTTCTGATGCAATTTTAGTCCTGTTTACACCTTGGATTATTGTACATATACCTATAAGAAACCAATCTGTCGAGTTTAGTATCGGATTTATTATTTAAAAGGTCAGACAAAGAATAAATTAGTCAAAAGAATTTTGGCAAGCGTTGTGGTATAACAGTGAAAAGTTTCAATCAAATATGAGAGAGAGTGAGATTATTTGGAATGTAAGTAAAGGAAATCTTCCAACTAAGCTTTATTAAGTGTAAATTCTAAATCTACAACATTTCCTTATACATAATTAATTCAAATTGTTTCTTTATATCAGTAATAATAATTTATGGCTCAATATCTGCGTATGAATGGGTGACCTACAGAATAATTTGTTTATCTTCTGTTGTCTTAGGTTTTGCAATCTATAAAATTGTCACCGTAATCTAAGCAAAACAAACATTACGAATCAAAAGCAAAATACCTTAAAACCGGCAATTGGATTTCACTCAGCTTTTTGGAAATAGTAGTGAATTATATATTTAAAATCAATATTTTATTTGCAACCCCTATCAAGACATCATCGTTAGAAATTTCAATGGAATTTAGTCTATACTTAATTTGAACACAATACATCAAGTTCAAGTTACTTTCATGTTATCAAATAATTACTTTGAATATTAGATTGTTATAAATTATAAAGTTTCATTAGAATTCATCTGTCAAATAGGAAACAAATGAGACTGTTAGTCATATAAAGAAGGAAACTCTATAGATATTAAATTGAAAAGTGAAAATTGCTATGCTGGAACGAATACGAAGATTTTTATCATTCAAAAATAATTTTTTTCAAATTATCTGTAATTACGCCAATAATTTTTCCTGATTTATAATTTTTGAACATATTGAAATATTTATTTGAATTACAACAGATGAATGAAACCAATGTACTACAACTACTTATCAATTGAATTACAACATAATATCACTATTATTAAAAGCGGTTTTTGCGAAAGATTGACCTTGCTCATTCCCATGATGTGAAAGTGCTTTGATACTAAACATTCTATTTATTAAATTATTTTAGCCCAAACTAATGCCTGGAGGAAACTACATCAAAATCGGTAGAGATTCTGCAAAAAGTACCTACCTACTTTTCGCGCCGCCAGAAGAAGAAGTTGGAGTTTTAGCCAAATATTTGAATATTTTCAAAAAACACCATGTCAATTTGTTACATATTGAATCCAGACCGTCCACTAAAATGCCCGACTTGTGCGAATTTATGGTCGAATGTGCCCCGTCTGGAAACTTGGGCGGTGCTATTGAAGATATCAAAAGTAACAGTCAATATTTGCAGATTATATCCAGAGATTATAAGGATAATAAAGGTAATATATATTTTTCTATTTATGTTGTTTTATGTGTCTCAAGTTTTGAAGTAATTTCGCGAAAGTTGTCCCGAAACAACATTAGGAAAAGAGAGCTATTTGTTTGTCTGGAAAATAATAATTGGCTGCGTAAACTTGCTGTAATAAAATTATGTAGTTTTTATTTTATCGTTCAATTGCAATATTATTTTCTTTTTGCTTTAATAAACTAAAAACGTTTTGGTTCTTTTTTTAGATACAGTTCCATGGTTTCCAAGACGTATCAGAGATCTGGATCGATTTGCCAATCAGATTTTGTCATACGGTGCAGAACTAGATTCCGACCACCCCGGTTTTACCGATCCAGTATACAGAGAAAGGAGGAAGTACTTTGCCGACATTGCTTACAACTATAGGTAAAATGATATTTAATTATGCATACATCTTGAAATTTTGGTTGAAGATAGCTTTATATATGGGGCGCCGTTTGGGCCAAAATACAATCTTTTGCTAGATAATAATATTAGGTATACAAATTGCATATAGAATATAGTGAAAAGTTCCATATCTGTATAGACAAATTTCTTATAATGTTTTCATATAGGTAGACTGTTAATTTCATTGACTACCGCAATAGAATGAGGGCGCTTACAATTTGGTCGGGATACAGTGACTCTATTACCACAGTGGCGACAATTGCCGTCTTCTTTTTGATTGGTTCATTAAAATCCCATATATTCACATGGAAAAGGCCGCCATTTTGTGCCGAACCTCTTGCTATTTTCAAATATGAATATATAGGATTTAAATGGACATCTATATGATAAAAAATTGAAAACAACGTATCCGATGACTACCTAATTAGGCACATCAAATACGTTGTTTTCAAGGTTTTATCATAGTTGTTCATTTAAATCCTATATATTCATATTTGCTAGTAGCAAGAGGTTGGGCACAAAATGGCGGCGGGACCTCTATTGTCGCCACTGTATGTAAAGGCTTATTTAGCCACTGTAGGCCGGGACTCTGGCGATGAAGTTCAATAAAATATCGATGTGGTATCAAAATATTCGTGATAAGTTATCTTCCCAGGTTCCGACTTACATCTCGGAATTCTGACATTACAAGTCGGAGTTCGGAATTACATCTCTGAATAACGTCATTCCGACATATAAGTCGGAATTCCGACTTAAATCTCGAAATTCCCATTTACTGTTGTTTTGTTATTATAATTAGGTAAGTATCTCGCAACACTGTTAGTGAGGTCGTGAGGTTAGGATGACCTACATCAGGTGTGCGGCAGCTCCAACCAGCTGTTCCCGGCCAGAGTACCGGCCAAATCGTATGCGCCCTCATTCTATTGCGGTAGTAAATGAAATTAAAAGTCTATATGAAAACCTTATACAGGGTGTATATTTTAGGTGATACCTACCACTATTGCTATATGCGAAACGGTGAGAGCTACAAGGTCGGTTAAATGAGAAAAAAGTTGGTTTTTGGACGCCTATTTAAGACTCTTTTACAGTGTTGCCAATTTCCTTTTAGTTTATTAAATACAGGTTCATAACTTGGGCCGAATTAAGGTAAGATTTTGGTAAAAATCAATTTTTATCACTTTTTGGAGCAGAAACGTCGGTCAATCATACTAAAAAGCGCTTTTTTAAAATGACATAAAAAATCCAGGTCCGTATTTAAAAAAATAAAGTTGATCACGAAACGTCTGATTCAAAATTTGAAGATGCCATGTTGTACAGCGAAAAAAATTAAAAAACTTTCAAATTCAAATTGTGTCTCCAAAATCAATAGTTTTCGGAATAATTGATGAAATATTTTCAGGCGTTTCTTAGAAATCAGCCTGTATTTCATAAACGAAAAGGCAACACTGTAAGCAAGCCTTGAATGGGCATCAAAAAATGCAACTTTTTTCTAATTTAACCGACTTTGTAGCTCTTACCGTTTCGGATATAGCAATAGTGGTATCACTTAAAATATACACCCATATACGGAATTTGTCTAAACGTATATAAGTATGGAACTTTTCTATATATGGAATTTTTAAATACTCTATATGGAACTTTTCACTTTTCTATATGAAATTTGTATAATATTATATATATTGCAAGAAATTGTGTTTTGGCCCAAATGGCGCTCCATAGCGTTACGACAAGTTTAGAGCCCCTTAAATCCTGTTAGTAGTCCTTCCACCTGTCTTATCTGAGTACTTCAGCTATTAGTATTTTTGAGAGGTCACCAATTATCTTAAGTAGACAGCCAAAAGTTGAGATGTTGATGGGTCGACCAGCTTTCAACTGCCGTCTTTATAACTTGCATCGACATTACAAATGTGGGTTCTGGTCTAGTGTAGGGTACAGCCTTTTCGTTACCTGAATTCCTAGGAACCCATAGAAGCTTTATCCTGTTATTCCTTGACGACAGAGCTTCTAGGTCGTGTAATCATTCCATCAAAGTTCATAGCTTTCAGAGCAGCCTGACTGTCTGAGAGAATGCTTATGTTCTAGTTATTATAATCTAATCCCCTGTGCGCATGCTTGAATTGAAAACTGTGGCGTCAAGTCCAACAGGGATGCTTAGTCTTGATCTCGGTCTTTCTCCATATACGCCAGCGCTAGCTCTATCCGCTGATCTCAGACCCCAAGTTTTTTCCAATAGACTTCTGCATCTCACTAGACACATTTTTGGTTTGTTGAGGTTAGATGTGAGTTCCATGTTAACTTACGGCGTCCAGGATTAGAACTAGGTATTTCACTTCGTCAACTATTTGAATCCTTTTCCTGAAGATGTTTAGGTTGTATTCATCCCTGTTCCTCCGTCTAGTCAAGTTAAATCAAAGGTTAGGTTTTGTTTTCAAACAGCAAGTAAAATTTTAAAAGTTTTTTCTTCTCATTATCTCCTGCAAAATCAAATGCAAATATCACGCCAGTGTGTTGTCTGAGTGCTTGTGTCTGTTTGTGAATAAAAAAAACCGCGAGAAAGTCAAGGGATTGCAAAAATTTTGGGATAACTTAAAATGTCAGGTTCATGCAGCACCTGTAATGCAGCAGTCATTTTTAAAGAAAGCTATGGGTCCCCAAGCTGCCGAACTCTTTGCCGAATACTTTAGTTCAGTCTATACTGATCAAGTATTGGATTTTTCAGATCAACTTTCTCTATCTCCTCAGAATTTATTTGATTTAACTATTCCTATCTTGGACATCTACATGGAGCTAAATAACATCGACCCAAACAAGGGACCAGGGATGCGATTTTCGAAACCATTCGAGTACATTTCGTACACGAAATTTGACTGACAGCAATGTAAATTAAATGGGGAGCATTCAAAATCGTATCAAATTTCGTATGCGAAAATATTCGAAAATAGGACCCCAGGGCGTGACCATATCCACCCGCTCTTTCTGAAAAACTGCTGTTTTGTTTTGTCTAGACCCTTGCATATAATTAACAATAAGTCCCTGAGGGACGGCTTCTTCCCTGAGTATCCGGTGACTCATTAGATGTGACTAATTATCGCCCAATTTGCATTATCATATATAATATCACAAGAGAAAAAATTTTGTCGGCAAAATTTTCGAAAGGTATGAAAGTTTGTTGCTTGGCAATTTCGCGAATGACATGAGCGAAATTGCCGAAAAGCAACAAACTTGAATAAAACCTTGAGAACAATTTTGCCTACACAATTTTTTTCTCGAGTGGTATTCGTCATGACTATTTCACGTAAGATTTTGAAAATAAATAGAATGCAAAATTATTAATAAAAACTTCAAATTAAAAATACCAGTTTGACAATGTAAAAGATGGTCACTGAAATACCATGTTGTTGGTATTGTCCAGGTAGCATTATTGTCAGGTGAATACCGAATTTATTGCTGGTGTAATACACTCTAGTGAAATAGTCAGTGCAATTCCTTAAATCTTTGATAATATTGTCATACCATTTTTATCATCATCTTTAGGCAGCGAAATTATATCCGAGCAGTTTGGCTTCAAAAGGAGGTCATCAACGGAAATTAATCTTCTCACATACTCTGAGTTTCTGACAGGCGCCTTGGAGAGGGGTGAGGAGGTACATACTATATACACCGACTTCTCCAAGGCGTTTGACCGAGTCAATCATTTAGTCCTGATTAAAAAACTAGAGAGACTTGGCATCTCTGGCTCTCTGCTTCAATGGGTGGGAAGCTATCTTACAGGAAGGACACAGATAGTTCATATTAACAACTTTACCTCTTCCCAAATCTTGGTGTCATCAGGTGTTCCTCAAGGCTCGCATTTAGGCCCACTGTTCTTCAACCTGTTCATTAATGACATATATTCTTGTTTCCTACACTCTTCATTTCTTCCTTTTTGCCGATGACTTGAAATTATTTTTGAAAATCGTTACTCCTGATGACTGCCATGTACTGCAAGAGGATCTTGACAGGTTAATTCAGTGGTGTCAAACTAATGGCATGGATCTTAATGTTACGAAGTATAAAGTTATGAAATTCCACAGGTCTAGAACCTTTAATGACTGCATATATCACATCAATGTTACGCCATTGGACTGCGTGAATCAGATCAGGGATCTGGGAGTTTTGCTTATATAATATATAATATAATTTTCTTCACACATCGATGCCATAGTTAGCAAAGCATTTCGGATGCTTGGGTTTATGAAGCGTAGTACAAGGGAATTTGCGAATATCAACTCCATCAAAACGTTATACTTCTCATTTGTTCGTACACATCTTGAGTATGCTGCATATGCTTGGAGTCCAAACTATGCCTGTCATATTAATCGCCTTGAAGGTGTGCAGCGTAGATTTTGCAGATATCTCAATTACAAATTTTTTAACGATGAGGAATTTCATTATGCACCACTTTGTGATGCATTCAACTTATCAACCCTTTGCTCAAGAAGGAAGCAGAAAGACCTCAAACTGATACATAAAATCCTAAATTCCACAATTGATTGCCCCTACTTGACTTCTAAAATAGCCCTACATGTCCCATCACGTAACACCCGCACATCTCAAACTTTTCATCTTCAATTTCACAGAACCAACTATGCATATCACTCTTTCATTCCTCGTACCCTCAGACTATGTAATGAGCTGGGAGACATTGATTTTTTTGGGCCCTATGAACCATTTGCGAGAACTGTCACTGGCCTCAAGCTATAATTATTGTTATATTATGCTGTGATTTTGTATTTAGTTTGATTTAACTTAATTTGATTTTATTTAATTTAATTAAGTAAGTATCATGGTTTGTTATTGAATTCTTTGTTTCTGCTTTATCTACTTTGATTGGCATTTTGCTTTTATTATTTATTTGTTATTTCACTTGTTAATTTTTAATGGGCTTGACCCGTCAATAAATAAATAAATCGTGTTGGAATCCAACCTTCTTCTGAACCATTCGGGCTTTAAGTTTCTAGTATAACTTTGTACTTTAACAACCAGGAACCTAAGTGACTGGAAAACTGAAATAAATAACTTAACTGGTCGCTTTGTTGGGTCTTTAATACCTACAACCTCACACCTCCTGGATAGATTATTGAAATTAAATTAGTAAATTTTGTTTAGACACGGTCAAAAGCTACCTCACGTAGATTACACCCAAGAAGAAATTGATACATGGAGTAAAGTTTTTACCCAATTAAAAACCCTATACGCAACACATGCCTGTAAAGAACACAACCACGTATTCCCGCTTCTAGAAGAAAACTGCGGATACCGCGAAGACAATATTCCACAGTTAGAAGATGTTTCAAATTTCTTAAGAGGTAACTAACAAAAATTTTAATAATTATTATACAGACTAAACCATAATTATTTGCAGATTGTACTGGTTTTACACTGCGTCCAGTAGCCGGTCTACTTTCGTCCAGAGATTTTCTAGCTGGATTGGCATTTCGAGTATTCCATTCCACTCAATACATCAGACATCCAAGTAAACCGTTCTACACTCCAGAACCTGATGTATGCCACGAACTTCTTGGACACGCACCTTTGTTTGCTGATCCCGATTTTGCACAGTTTTCCCAGGAAATTGGTTTGGCCTCATTGGGTGCTCCTGATGATTATATCGAGAAACTGGCAACGGTAAAAAAAAAAACAAAATTCCAGAATAAGGTTGAATTTATGGCCCTTATTCAAACATTATTCCTTAGAAATTTATATAGCGGCAGGAAGAGAATAAAATTACTTTTCAAAAGTGCGGCTTTAGGAATATCTAACTTTGATAACGGCGGAGTAAAATAATCATTAAATTTCAATTTACATGGATAAAAGCGAGCAAGTGGATTTGCTCGTAATAAATTAATGAAGTTTTGATTACTTTTCACTAAAATAAATATTTATCTACAAGATAATAATAATTCATGAATGAAATAGGGAATTTTTGTTTCAGTGTTTCTGGTTCACAGTAGAATTTGGCGTTTGCCGAGAACCTGACGGTCTAAAAGCTTACGGAGCTGGACTTTTATCATCATACGGTGAACTTCAGTATTGTCTGGAAGACAAGCCAGAATACAGAGCATTTGAACCTGCCAAAACAGCAATCCAAAAGTATCCAATTACAGAATACCAACCCATATATTTTGTTGCTGAAAGTTTTGAGGACGCCAAAGAAAAAATGATGTAAGTAGTTACCCAATTTAAATTTTAACAGGTTTTTGAATAAATTGCTATTGTAGAAAATATGCAGCAACAATTCCAAGACCTTTTGGTGTAAGGTACAATGCTTATACGCAGAGTATTGAAGTTTTGGATTCCAAGCCCCAAATTCAACGTTTGGTTAGCAATATTGGTTCTGAGATGTCCATATTAATAGATTCACTCAAGAAACTATAGAATTTTTTTTTCTTGTATTTAATGTTTTATGTTTATTCATTTATTAGCTTTTATACACGTTATTTATGTTATTTAGAATTAATTATTAAGTAGGTAGGTTGATGATTTTCTTGATGCACTTAAGGAATTAAAATTTAACCATTTGAAATAAAAAATTTACAATTAAAATTAAGTTGCTTTATTAAAAAAGACAAATCTTATAAAGACAAACCAAAAAAAAAAAAACCTTAAGACTAACTATAAAAATAGCTACTACTACTAGATCTACTATCAACGTCTACAACAAATAACTAAAATTTATTTACAAGGAAACGTAATAATCATAAATTATAAATAAAATTTATTTAAATCAGTCTCTATTTACAAAACAGCAATTTAAAAAAGAAATATGAAAAAGTAGCTTGTTTCATTTTCTTATTATTTGCACTTATTGCTGTTCAAAAAAATATCTAAAAGTTATTTCACCCAAAAATAAAATTATCACTAAAAACGACTATCACTTAGGATTGGCAAGTTTCATTATAAATAGTTTGCAATCACTTTTCGACCATGGGATATTACCTTAAATAAATACCCTTTTTTTTCTGGATTAGAATAGTTTTACAAACAAAAATGCCTTCACCAGAAAATGTTTAACACAATTAGAAGATAAATTACAGAATTTTTCAGTCACACTTTAGTTATTATAGTTGGACGACTGAAAAATCTGAGCCTGGATTAGTTTTACTTAAAAATAAGTTAAGTAAATTCAATCAAGTTTATAAAACAATTTTAAAAAGGAATGTTCATCAGTTTTTTAAAAGGAAAATAAATGTTCAGTGTTTACCCCATCAGAGATTTAAAATTAACCATGACATAATCAAAAACTGAGTCGTTTCAGGCAATTGACATAAATTATTCCTATATAAATATATTTCATCTCAACGAAAATCTTCTTTCGCATTTATCCAAAAATTCCGCGGTCAGAGGAATAATGGGAATAGGTGAATACTCCGCGTTACTTATACTACCAATCCGAACCCTAAACTTTAACAAAGCATATAGGGCTGAACATGATATTAACGCTAGCCCACCCAAACCTAACAAATATTTAACAATTTCCAATGCCACTGGTAAAATTTTACAAACTAAATATAATAATATCGTGACTATTGTCGGTAATTCTTCCGTAGTAATTTCAACCCAAAACAATGGAACTTGTAAATTGTTGAATTTTTGAGTTTGTGAATTTCCTCTAGTTTTCCCTACATCCAAATTGATTTGTATCCGCATTTTCCCACTTAAAGGTGCACCAATATCTGGTTGAATAGCGCAAAGACTTCCGTGCTCTTCTATATTTGGATTTAATCCATTAATGGTTTTGAGCATTTCCGGATCAGCGTTATAAAAATGAGGCTGTGATAGAGTTATAGGAATGCCATAGTAACAAGGCGCAATGCTCTGGAAGCCTTTCACGCATTTGTTCTTATAGCAAAAGCATTCGTTTTCCTCTGTAACGTCAAACATATCGTCAGCAAGTTTGTATTCGTACTGTCTGAAACCTTCTTTGCCTACAGTATCTCTAACAAAATGTAGATTAACTGGACGACAGAAAGCCTTTCTGAATAATTTCAAAGTTTTATTCACTGGCATATTCCTAGGAAAAATTGTTCCATCAAAAGCACCTTCAACTAAATCGCACTTTTTAATATCTTCTGGAGCAAGGTTTTCATAGCCCCAATCCTTAAGGCCTGCTAATCCGTTCCAGCTGGCTACGTGGTACTGATTCATTCTTTCGGCTTCTGTCAAAAGATAATCAGTTTCGGAATGGAACTTTGCAGGGTCCCTGACGATGGTTACAGTATTACCATTGTCACGACTCATGAGCTAAAAATAAATAAATTTAATAACTTCTTTTTGGGTTTTCCTATCGAAGTGCTCACTCTAGCAAATATTCCGAAATTATCAAAATCGATCCATTTGGGTAGTAACTTATTGGCATAGTTGATGAGCGGGTCGTGGTAGCCCCACATGTATTCGTGGACACTGATGTTCATTATGGGTTTTGAGCCTAGGGTTCTGGCTACTGTTGCGAATCCCAGATTGGTGAAGAAGGACATGTCTTGAATGTAGGATTGGAGACCCTAGAAAACAAATATTTGATTTATAGATATAGATCTACTGAAAAAATCCGAGTGAGCCTAAATTTTGTCCACACCTTTATTTTACCTCAAGAATTATTGTATTGAAAGTTTCCACCGATATCTTGTTAGCGTTCCAAGATATTCAACGTCAAATATCACAGAAATGAGTGTTACTTAAATATTTTGCTTTCGGTATGTCCTACGACTATTTTGGCTAAAAATATTGGAGAATTCTGTTCAAAAAATGTTATCCACATATTTTACGTCATACCAACCAGTTTCCGCCAGGAAAACAGAGGGTAGCACCCATTTCCACACCACCCCAAGGCGCGTTTTTTTTTATATTGTATTTTTACTGTAGGCCTAATCCATGATCTTTCTTGTTGTGACTTTTAAATGTAGGATGCGCGATCTTCATTCTCGTAATCTGTCCCCTCTTCCACTACGTACAAATGTTAACATTAAACACAGCATCGGCCATAATGTATTTGGTGTTAACATTGGTACCGTTCAGTTCTGGCTCCGAAACACCGCGCCCGGTACCGAAAAGAGTTGGGTAATGGGTAGACTGATCAGGACAAGTCTCGGATATACAGACAAGTCCAACAGGATAACCTCAATCCCTATGTCCTGGTTGAACGTACGGACATCAGTTATACTTTCTACCTCGCTGAGACACGCGATTCCGAATTTGTCACCAGAAGCTTTCGGGGACTGGTGCTGAACAAATTATCTGTTCACAATCCGATGTCCAAAGGTAAAGGTAAAACTTATCACGTAAACGTGATAAATTCACCTTTACCTTTGGACTACGAATTGTGAATAGGATATAAGGCTTATTTCTGCTTCGCAGTTTTTTACCGTAACCGTACAACCGCCGGCTTTAACCGTAGACATATATCTATCGCTTTTTGTTTTTTCGCTGATATCCATACCGTAATACCTTGACCACCACACACACGTCGACTCCCTCTCTCTCTCGCACTCTCTTTTGACGCGTACACTATTGCTCTATGACGAGCTGTTATGAATTGAGGACAATTTGGTTAAGGTTTTATCAAACATATTTGAGTTTTCATTTCCTTTTTATCTGTTATTACACAATGAGTAATGGATAAATTATTCTCCAATAGTTGTTTTATTCCTTTATCTGCGCATTGTCCCCTGTTTTTTTTTTTCTCCACTGTAACAAGCTACCTGGTGCTAGTGGGCCCCAACCACTATAATCTTGAGGGTGGCGCCCGAGATTACCGTTGGATTAACCAGAAGATAAAACCGACTGTTAATCTGCCACAGCTCAAGGAAAAACCTGGGAAAACCCGTTGCAAATTTGGCGCCCGAGCAGGGACCGTTTTGCGCATTGGCAACTGACCGTAAAGATTACGTCATCATCCGTACCCCGTTTCACCGAGAGGCCGTTTATTTTGGTACCGACCGATGGGTTGACCGTTACATGGCAACCAATGGTTATTAAATGACATTCATTCATGACTTTTGACCTTATTATTATTTTTTGAGGTAAAATAAAGGTGTAGACAAAATTTAGGCTCACTCAATTTTTTTCAGCAGATGCTGCTTTTTCCGGCTTAATATAACTGGAGTAATACTAGAAATATTTAGAATCACTTACCACTAATGGAATATTCGTTGTCATCATAAAAGCATCTTTTGGATCACCAACAGATTTTTCTGGAGCGAAAATAATTTCTCTATGAGGGTTGTACGTGACAGTACCATCTTCGTAGTTGAAGGTTGCATTTTCGTTAGTTAAAATTTCTCTGAAAAATGTTACTGTTAATAAATATCATTGTAGTAAAATAATTGTCCTACCTATAAACGTACGGACCTATTTGGGATACGTTCATTTTTTCTTTGCCTGCCATAAACTCTTTCGAATTTGTTATGTTGAAGGCATAAATTTTCAAATAGATGACATATGGTGGTGCTGACCACAGTTTATAAAATATGCTGCCGTCTGACAAAGTTAAAAACTGAAACAAGGAGAGTAAATAAATTGAATGTTTGCTTAAAGGTAAATTATTACTTACCAATTTTACTATAGTTTGAAGTGGATTATGTACGAACATCAGAGTTGAAGTACAAACCATAAGCAAGCCAATTGCCATTAGGGATACTAATCCTAGAAACAATACAAATAGGTTTGATACTAATTAAATTGCATAAAGGTAAACTGTAACCTTTGAAATTTACAACGGTATACATTTTTCACGTTGCAACATCCGATCTGAATTCGAATTTATTGAAAAAGTATTTATTAAACAAATAACTCAATAAAACAACAAACGATTTTTTCTCATTTACTTGGCTTATAATGTATTCAACGTCCTTGTAATGTAGATCAGGTATTTTTATTGGAAAATTTTAAAGAAGATTTACATTTTAATAACATTTATGTATGCATGTTTTGTTTTGATATTTGCCTTTTATTATTAATAGATAACTGAGCATTCACCTAATTATCGCAAATAATTTTCAACATAATTATTTTTGTAACATTTGTATAAAAGTTTTTTCATAGTACAGTGTTTTCCTCATGAGCTTTAGATAAACGTGCTCATCAAAAGTGGTTGATGTAGGTCTTTTTGTGACACGTCTTTATTCCCTGGTGCTAAAAATGACATCTCATAGCCATCAATTATTATTAAGTTCCCACCAAATCCCATTTCACCAACCATCAAAAGACAACCTGATAAAAGTTTGGGTTGGTCAGGGCACCCAGGGAACACTGCAATTTTATTGTAGGGCATAAATCAGAGACTTATCTTTATGTTAATTTTGATTTTCGTTTTGTGGAACTATCTTCAGGATTCCCCGGGTATAAGGCCGTTAAAGCAGGTAAGACCCAATAACCCAAATGTTTTTTTAAAAATAATTCTCAAATTTGTCAGCTAAAAATAGAATTTCTCTAACAACCCATAATGAATGTATTATAGTAAATTAATTGAGTAAATCCATAAGGCTTGTAATGCACTTTAGTCATGCGATAATTTTTCGTAGAAACAAATACTATTATGTATATTTGTTTTTCTTTATTAAATATTGATTTATTATCTAATATTGATGAATTGTCTTTTTTTTTTTTAAATGAAACATTGAAATTCGACACGTGTTTTTAACATGTATCATGATGGCTCGTGCAAATAAGCAAATATTCTCTATTGATTGATATCCATTTTTGTAGGTACCTAAGGAGATCATTCTTTTTAACTTGAAACTATAAAGCTCAAGAGAAGAGTTGCTGCCCATGATTTTCAGAACAAGCCGCTGAAAGAATTGACCAATTGAAGATATTTTCGTAAAACATCGAAGAACTCTACTAAAGAACCATCAACTAGTAACTAGACATCTTGGTCCTTCTGCAAAAAACTATGTTGATCAAATCTTCTTCAAAGAAAAATCGTTTTGATTGGCCAAATGCTGCTGGTGAAGTACCTAGCAACACTGGTTAAAACAGGCCTAGAACTCTTTTACATAGGAGTAGATGTCACTGTCGTACCCCAGAAAAACTACCCGTCTTAATGGGCTTTCGACGGTTCGAGGTTTAGAAAGAAGTAAATCCTCTAATGACTTTGTTTAATGCACCTTTTGTGCAGAAATAAAGCAACATGAACTATATATGCTGTTCTCTATGCTGAATACTTGATGATTAATAACTGTCAATTAAAAAAGTCGTAGGTACTACCGGTACATAACTGGTACATACAGAAAAAATGAAAAAAAAAAAGATCGTAACAACGGGATCTAACAGTCACTATGAAGATTGAGGCTGGATGCAGGGATGTTATCAGCACTAAAAAAATTGTACCAGAAAGTAGGGAATAATTGTACTAGATTGGCGACATTGTGTACTAGCTGAAAGCGCGTCAAATTTTGAAATTTGAATACAAATGTAGGCTCTGCTAATTGGGGGTAAATATCACTTGTTTTAGGGTCGGTTTCTCAATAGCGAGTCACCTGCGGGTTGGTTTTGATTCCAGGTTAAACGTGTCCAGTTGCAATGTTTACTCTAGAGTTATGCTTAACCCAGAGGTGACCCGCTATTGAGAAACCGGCCCTGAATGATAGAAATTAATAAATTTCTACATATTCAGTTATAAATCGACTACGGATTACCGTGATTGGTTGAATAACCGAATAACCCCCGATACATGATACATGTCGAATCACAGAATAAAAAAGTGTTTGTGCGTTCGAAACCATTATTCGCAACGCCAATTTCTTGTTTGACTTTAGCCGCACCGGAGTGGGACCTGGAACGTGGAACCCAGCCCACAAGTAGAGAGTAGAACTCAGAACTCGGGTACGGTACAGAGCGAAAAGCGACACTCGACTCTTTGATGAGAGAGGTACTAGCGTACTAGGTGAAACGTGATAGTGCTAGATGTAGTACAATAATTGTACTAGAAATAGCGTCCCTGACTGGATGAGAATCCAGCGTAGATATTGAATAATCTAGGTACTAGAAGATCTACTCCAACATAGAATATCTTCAAGAATTCAGAAACCTATGAGATCAGAAGATCCATTGGTAACTACTTTGCGTGTTAAATGCAGAAGTATCTGAGAAGATTATTATTTCACCCTTGGACTCAATAGGAAGGTATAGCTAAATAAAGTTGAAGCTTTAACTAATATTTCAGAGTGAAAATGCAGCCTAAATGAACACCCAGATGAAGATGATAATCACGAGGACGAGATGTTTAGGTAAGCCTGTAATGGCCTAATTAGTGCTTAAACTGAATGTTTTTTCATCAACCGCTTATTTGGCTTGGATTAGCACTAGAAATATGGATAACAACTTTATTTGGAATCAATTCTTTCAACTGTCAAATAAAGGTAAATATCATAAAACTAAAACAGCCAAGTATTTATGTATATTTTCATTCAGTCGATTTTTCTTGGTTTTCCAGTGTGCGTCAAACAATGAAAATTACTGTTCCAAGACCATCAATATCCGAAATAGTAAAATAATAATCATTATTGGTTTACAGCATATAATAGAACTTTGCTCCTAACATTGTTTTTGCATTTAAAAAATAGGCACGGGTGACAGCGAAACACTTGTTATTAGTAGACAGGTCGATTTTTTTTCAGGGTTTATTGAAGCATTTCAAAAATAGTATACATGTTTTTAATAAACGGTTGTATTGGAAGCTTAAATGCCGGCGATAATTATCGATGAAAATGTAATCGTCAGTACTGTCATAGATATTGTAATGATACCCCATGTTTAATTAGAATATTTCAGATACAATTTAAACAATGGATTTTTGAAACTATGTATTCTATTTGAATCTAATTATAAATATAGCAAAATACCTACAGCGGATGGTAGGTATATGACGGTTAGTTCGTGTCCAAATTCTAATAGATATTAAATATTATTTATTTAATTGAGGTGTGCTTATAATAATAATTAAACTTTCACCTTAATCTATTGAATTCCCTTGACATCTATTGAAAAAATATTTTTGTTTATTTTATATTGCATTGTACCTACTCAGGGTAATGAACATCTGCACGCAAATGCCCACATAAGCACTTTTTTGTTGGACCACCCTGTACATTTTTTAACACTTATTAATAAATAAATTACCTATTTCAATCTAAACAGTATCAAGTTCCTAATTATGTAAATAAAAGTATTAGGATTTCAAGTATAAGTTGCACAACCAGCGATCATTAAAAAGAAAATATGAATTGACCAAATTAGTATAATTTAATATATCGTTTATATGGTAAAGTAAACAGAATCCGTGACAAACGACCGCAGACAACCTTAAAATTTACGAGTGCAGGCGAAGAATATATACCAAACATGTGTGAATTTTTTTATTAAGACCATAATATTGATGATCAGGGCCAGCCTCCAAGGAAGCGTTCCGGCTTAAATTTGGTCAAGGAGTGTGACATATTTCACCGTTAACGAGTACAAAGATGTTCGGTACATCAAAAATCATCAAGAGATATTAAATAACACGCTAGATTTTTTATCGTCAATAATTAATTAATTCAAGGATTCAGGGCATTTTTTGTTTTGGCATCTAATAATATTGTCGACATTGAATTGAAACCTATATTAGCAAAGGTCACATAATTAGATGTTGTTATCAAGATTAGATTTAGGAACATTTTTACATAATTCTTATTACGAGATAAGGTCATGTCTTCTATGCAAGGTTTATTGTTTTTTAAGGAAGATTTAAGAGTAAGCTTCAGGAGTAAACCACTATTTTATTTAGGGAATTTTGTCAATGCTTATATTTTCTTCTCGATACCAAAAGAATTGTTCAGAAAAAGCCCCTTATTCATATAAAATATTTATTAATAACTGCATATTATAAGACATGTCTACTTTGAAAAATAACTGTTGGTCAAAAGGTTTGATTCACCAAATCTCCAATCTTCAAATTTTTTTTTACTATTCATTATCAAAGTCAGGTCATAATATAGAAAGATTTTCGATCATCTTGAGTCCCTTGAGAAGCTGCAAAGGGTCATATGATGAGGAAATGTCCGCCTACGCAGAAATTTGCGAGAAGAAAAACGCAATTTGATGAAAAGCTTGGCAAGTCTCTCCATGCATTGGGAACCTAACCTAAACTCCCTAGGAAATTAATTTCAGACAAACCCTGTCAAGTTTGCCTTTGTATCTTTGACATGACTTCGCGTTTTCGTACGATTTCTGCTATAAGTAGTGGGTACTAAAGTTTCCTCAAAATAAGAAGGTTCAGTTTTTTTCCACCGAAATCAGTGATGAGCACTTAGTTGGGGAAGCAGAAGTGAAGCTGTAGACACCCTCATGAGCCCCTATATCAATTGGAGCAGTAGTACCCAGAAAAGACCCTGCCCAAAGTATACGGAAATTGTGTTTATGTCAGAATTGGTGATTAAAAGTTACCATTGTACCAATCCTGAAAAATTACTATACGTAGCACACCACTGCGCCACAAGCTTACCTATTTGTGTTACATTGTATGTATTTGAACAATAACTTAATGTATAAAGTCAGAATTTGTAAGATTATCCACTTTTTGTTAATTGGCCTTTTAACAGGAATTAGTAATATTACTTCACCAAACTAGTAACATAATGTGACAAGTTATTCAAGTACAAACGAGTGGATTGTTGCGGAATTCATGAGTCGACCTCTGAGGGACGAGGGCAGCTAGTTCCGCAGTCATCTATTCATTAATACCTACGTTGTTCAAGAACGATACTAACCTGACTCACTCAAATGTCAGTTATTCTCATTAGTTCAAAAACTACAAGTTTCAGGTGAATGTCTTATTTGAATAGGTCAACAGTATATTGATGAGTAGATGGCTGCGGAACTCGCTGCGCTCGTCCCGCAGTGGTCCACACATAAGTTCCGCAATAATCCACGTATTTGTACTTGAACAAAAACTTATTATATAAAGTCATAATTTGTAAGATTATGATTATTCACTTATTCTCAATTTGCCTTTCAACAGGAATTAGTAATGTTACTTCACCAAACTAGTAACATAATGTGACAAGTTATTCAAGTAGAAATGAGTGAATTGTTGCGGAACTTATGGGTGGACATCTGCGGGACGAGCGCAGCGAGTTCCGCAGCTATCTATTCATCAATATGTTGTTTAATTACGATGCTACACTGACTCACTCAAATGTGCGTTATTCTCATTAGTTTAAAAATTACACGTTTCAGGTGAATGTCTTACTTGAACAGTTTAACAGTATATTGGTGATTAGATGGCAGCGGAACTTGCTGCGCTCGTCCCGCAGAGGTCCACCCATAAGTTCCGCAACAATCCACTTATTTGTACTTGAACAAAAACTTATTATATTAAGTCAGAATTTGTAAGATTATTCACTTTTTGTCAATTTGCCTTTTAACAGGAATTAGTAATGTTACTTTACCAAACTAGTAATATATTGCGACAAGTTATTCAAGTACAAACGAGTGTATTATTGCGGAACTTATGGGTGGACCCAGCCATTTATTCACCAATATGTTGTTCAAGTACAAACTGATTCAGTCAGTTGTGAATTTTTCTCATTAGTTCAAAAACTACACGTGTCAGATGAGTGTCTTATTTGAACAGTTCAACAGTATATTGGTGAGTAGATGACTGCGGAACTCGCTGCGCTCGTCCCGCAGAGGTCCACCCATAAGTTCCGCAATAATCCACTTATTTGTATGTACGTTCATTACAATGTCCAAGCGTTTCACTTGCTATAGTGAAATTAATTAAACAGTGTATGCACGTGATCAAAATTAATGATATAAGTACGTCGCAATGTTGCCGCTATTAACTTTCGTTGAACTTTGACATACCATGTCTAGTAAAATTTGTTATCACTGTTATCACTAAAGCAAATGTGTATTGTGTGTGTATTATGAACACAATCTAAAAAAACTACTCACTTTTCATCGTAAATTTGATTGCGAATAGAGCTAACATCAAGGTGATCTTAATTCGTAACCCGCTTCTTATGTGGACGCTTTTTCTTGGGTGAATTTAACGCTAAATTATCCCTAACTTTTTGAGAGATTTTATATTGGATTTTACTCACAGTGGTTATACCAATATTCAGTGCAGCTGCAACACGCTGGAAAAATATTCCCAATTAAAGCCAGATTTAGCTATTTAATAGAGAATTATGACACTTTCAAAATAATGATCGATTTTATTACTGATCTGCCTTATTTAATTACTGACAGTCACTATTTCTCGTGAATAAAAAGAATTATGGCACTACATGTTCAATTGGCACTATTTTGATCATTTTTTCGTGTCAGTGTCGCATTGTTTACTCAATTGTAATGGAAGAAAAGTTATAAACTGCCATTCTAGGCTATTTCTAGGGGGTGCAAATGATGTTTTTCGGTTTTATCCATTCACAAAAACCATACTAAAATATAAACAAATTATGTTAGGTTAGAATCTGAAAAATTCGTGAACAACTGACATTTGATTCATATTGCGCATGTGTCAAAAAATAGTGAAATAAATACTGCCTTTCACTATCCAATCACAAATAAGGATGATCCTTATTTTATTACTGACCGCCACTATTCTTAGTCACAAATACGCATGCGTAGGTGTCAATAATGTCATTATTAGTGATCGTCGCTATTTGAAGGTGCCATAATTCTCTAATGGCAAAAAGGGGCCCCATTATCTCGTTCCTGTTTAAAGAAACTAATTACAGACGCAACGAGTTTCTGACTCTGACTATTCAATGGCTTTGGCATTTTATGGATATACAAATAGAAATAATTTCAAATTATTAAAATCAGTAACCGCAGATTTGCAGCAATATTTGGCAACATAACCCATGAGTGCCAACCTAAATGTCATTTTATCGGCCGATTCGGTTAAATGCCAACAGTGTTCTGTCTTTTTTGTCTTCATTGATCACGTGCATACACTATTTAAATAATTTCACTATACCTATGAAATTAATTTTCTCAAAAAAGAATCAGTTTTCAGGATTGGTGCAATGGTAACTTTTAATCGGGAAGGCGTAATCTACATTATATACAAAATTCGGCAAATTCTGACATAAACACAATCTCCGTATACTTTGGGCAGGGTCCTTTCACCTCCTTTTTGGATTTTTGGTACATTTAGTGCAATACTGTGAATTTTCAAGGTTTTTCGTATTGTAATCCCTCTAGCCCTGGAAATTCGCCCATTTTCACATTTGAAGTTTTTACTGAGTTTATGGGCGATAATTTCACCCAATGCAATCCAATTTAAATTAAATTTCTCTGAAAAACTCTATTTAACATTTAGATAATCCCAATTAAAGGCTCGAATTTGCATCGCTCTAATAATTAACCAGGTAATTCACCTTGGTCACTGACGTCAATGGCGACCTTAACTTTGCACCAGTTTTCCATTAACGAAGACAGTACCACCGTTTCTGCTGCAGAATTTTCTAGAGGTAAGTACTTGAGAGAAATTTATTGACGTTTAAGGATATCCTCTCAATTTATTATGGTCAATTATTAAATAACAATAAATAAACAGCGCAGTCAGTGGCTCTTAAATAAGTGATTTTTTATAACTGGGTTGTTAAAAATCTGAAACAGGAAAGGTCAGCGTATTTTATTTATGGGATTTTTTCAAAGTTTATGTAATTACTTTTTTAATACATCAGGTATATGGGTC